ACCAAGAGCTTGTAACACTCCAAAGAGAAAGGAAAAATTGAAATCGCATCATATGACCCCTTTAATAAACAAGAGCTACTTGTATTAAAAATGTTTTAAACCTATCAAAACTTGCTTTTAAAAATGCATGGTGTGGTTTTATTCGGGGACTACAGTTGAAATTAAGCTTTAACGTTAGACTGTTACAATATATACTGTATTTACAATTATTTACTTTTTAAAATATTTAATAAAAAGTTAGTTCAATTTTGTTTACACATATTTTGGGCCTTGTTTAATGAAACGGGAGCACAATAAAGTTTGTTTAAAGAAAGTTCAAAAGTGCAAATCATTCGTAAATCAAATTTTTACATACATTTCCCATGTACTTATTTACTTAAATGGGAAAATGTACATAGAAATGACTTTACTTCCAAATTACAAACAAATTTGTTCTGCTAGCATTTCATGATTGAGGATCATTGTCTCAAAAAACATGTACGCAAAACTTTACGACTTAGTTAACATTTAACTTTCCATGGGTATAACCTAAGTTTATGTTTTTTTTTCTTGTTGAAGTTTGTTCTTTTCATCCTTTAGTTGTTTTTCATCAGTTCAAATGAGGCAACGTAACTTATTAGAGACAATTTGAATGCTTTGTAATCGCAATGTGGCTTTTGCACTTAATATTGTGTTAGCAAGTTAATTTGAGAGTGTATTGTGCGATAATTGGATGGTATTGATCTTCCAGGCGGAGACCTGCGTGCCAAACAATCTTGTTGATTTTCAGCTGTGAAATGTGTCGTTTTGGGACTGTTGTGTGCTAATTATGTTCTTCTCTCTCTTTTTCTGTGTGTGCGCAGACTTGCTGAATGGAGCACAGGAGAAATGTGAGCTACCCTTGCTTGACGGGTTTCCACATTGTGAAGGGAAGTTGAAGGTGAGTGTTTCTCGCACCCTCTGATCCAGCTCTCTGAGGAAAGCTTCTCGATCTGAGTCGCTCTTTAATTACTTTATGCTGTCACTGTCCTATGGTGGCTTCTCATCGGTTGGACTTTATTTGTGACCCTGGACCACAAACCCAGTCTTAAGTGTCAATTTTTTAAATGGATGGGAATCACGGCTTTGAGAGTCAAAAAAACATACACAAACAAAACCAAATTAAACCCTGCGGCTCGTGACGATACATTGATGTGTAAAGACACGAAACGATCGGTCTGTGCAAGAAAACTGAACAGTATTTATATCATCTTTTTACGTCTGATTTCACCGCAATGTCCAAACTGTCCTTAGCGCATCCTGAGCGCGTTCAACAGCCGGTGCGTGACGCGTCTTCTTCTTCTTCTTGCTTTACGGCGGATCGCAGACTTATAAGTGCATTACCGCCACCTATCTCTCAAGTGGACCATTGACACTCTATCTACAATCTCAATGGTCCACTTGAGAGATCAGGCGCCCGCTGTTGAACGCGCTCAGGACAGTTCGGACATTGTGGTGAAAATCAGAGAATTTGGTTTTGTTTGTGTATGTTGTACGATAAAAGTAATTTATCTGGTTGCCCATATATTTGAGGCTGGAAATTACTATGATTATGATGATGATGATGATTATTATTATTATTATTACTTTTATAATATATCTATATTATGTAAAAAAATATATCTAATAAATGTATCCTTTTAATTTAAACAACATTTGTGCACAATTTATTATAGCTTAAGTTTATAATTAATTTCTACTTTAAGATTTTTAATGTATGCTTTATAATGAGTTTTACATGATAAAGTATCTATTATACTGTATACTTTATAATTATTAAATATTAATAACAAAAAATAATAATGTTATATATTTATTTTATATATCATTATACAATCATTTAGAATATTTTTATTTTGTTATTTAATGATATAATTGGTTAATTTATTAATACAAAATATATGTAATTAATTAAAAATATATATAATTAAATAAAATAGATTTCTATATATTAATGTAATATATTAATTTTTTTCTTCTTCTTTTATGGAGGTCTGTAATATGCCACGTCTTAGTGTGAAGTTGTTACCGTTCACATGTCTGAAGTGTTTCATCATGTGGCTTAACCTCCCAGAAGTTTCAGATTTTTCAAATCCTTTAAAGAATTCAGAATGGAGTTTTACCATGTGATAATGCTTTTTCCTTCCTGGAACGCCACTCTTCGTAATGAGCTCACCTGATATTCAGAACGAGTCCCTTTGGATTTTTACAGCATGTTGATGTAGCAGCCAGACGGGACAAATTACAAAGGATTTAACATCAAGCAGAGCACACGAAGCTGGTCGGCCTTTTCAGTCAGATCAGACCTGAGCTTGGCCTCGTCTCAATAATCACAGGTCCTTTCGTTTAGAGCTCATGGAAATTCCTGAGATATGGAAATCCTCTTAAAATCATGCAGAATTAAAACCAAAATGTGACAACAGTAACATTGAGAACAGCCTGACTGATTTGTTTGACTTTAGTCTGAAGGGTTAGAACGTCTCAAAACGGTTTTGTTTATTCGATAAACCAAAGCGCAAACGTAAAAAAAAATCTAACAAAAGAGGGTGTTTTTTAAAGATGATGTGCTTTTAAAGGATTTGTTTGAAGGTCAACATGTCAAGTTTTATCCGAATTATGCCTAATATTTGCAAATCATTTGGTAAAACCATTTGTTAAATTCTTGTTCAGTCAACTTTGAAAATCTGTGATTTTAATTTGATTTGTTTGGCTATTTGTGTACCAAAACCTGTTTTAAAAACAAAAGTAAAAAAAAAAAAATGCAAACATTTTCTTATTTTGATTTTGTGTGTGTGTGTGTGTGTAAATTTTTTTTATAAAATTACATTGCAATTAAAATAAAAACATTTAATAAATTAATATATTACACTCTTACCTTGCAAATCGTTTGGTAAAACCATTTGTTAAATTCTTGTTCAGTCAACTTTCTGTAGTTAATTTGATTAGGTTGGTTTTTGTGCACCAAACAAATGTAAATATTCAGACATATGCAAATTAAGCAAAATCCGTTTGTGTATTTTCTACATTTTTTATGCAGACAGTGTAAAATGTATCATCTTCATACAAATTCAAGCTTTTTTTCATCAAGTGCTGACTCATTAAAAACGCACAGACGGCATCTTTTTTCAGAAACCCCGATCGATAAGTGTGATCTGAACCGCACGCTGCGATCAATACGTCCCTCTCCGTCCTAGAGAGAGTCTCACTGTGAGAAGAAATTGGATAAAGGAAGACAAAACCAATTTTTCTGAAGGTCAAGCTGATCTAAGAACTTCAAAAATATCCTGGAAAAACTGACAGGAAATAAAACTGCTCACCTTATTCACAGCTTCCTGCACAAATGCTTGTATACTTGTTAGATTTACAAAACCCTTTTTTTTGTTTTGTTTCCTCCTCTACAGTGGATGAAGGACATGTGGCGTTCGGACCCCTGCTACGGCAACTACGGAGTGGACGGATCCACCTGTTCCTCCTTCATTTATCTGAGTGAGGTAAGATGTGACAGAAATATTGGCCTAATGGTTACGAATCTGGGCTCAAACGTACAGAGAAAAGTATGTGGCAGTACCATGGTACTTTGACATAAAACCATGATGCTAGATGGTTTCCATATTCATGTGCTATTGAAAATGTACTCCCCCCTCAGGCCATCCAAGATGTAGATGAGTTTGTTTCTTCTTCAGATTTGGAGAAATGTAGCATTACATCACTTGCTCATCAATGAATGGGTGCCGTCAGAATGAGAGTCCAAACAGCTGACAAAAACATCACAATAATCCACACTACTTCAGTCCATCAGTTAATGTCTTGAGAAACAAAAAGCTGTGTTTGTAAGAAACAAATCCATTATTAAAGGGGTGGTTCATTGCGATTTGGTTTAGCCAATCAAAACACACTGGGCTAGCTAACCAATCAGAGCCCATCGCCTATTTCTGAGGGAGGGGCTTCATAAAAGAAGGAAATGATCAGTCCGTTTTTCAGAAGGGACAGAGCGGTGTGGAATAAAGGTAAATTATGTGAAAAATAATGTGTTTTTTAAAAAACGAAGCATTAACACGTTAGACTGCACCCCATAAACACAATCAAGCCTAGAAAAAACCCAGTGAACCACCCCTTTAAGACGTTTTCAACTTCAAACCGTTGCTAAAATACGAGTTCTCTATTCATAGCATTGCTTTCTTCAGTGAAAAAGTCTTCTCGTCCTAATCAGGAGAGAAATATGCACAGATTACAAAAGCGAAAACAGTGGATTTTTGATGTGAGAGGACAACGGGGGATTGACTTTTCCACTGGAGGAAGTGCTATTATGGATTATGGAGTTGTATTTTGGCCAGAAGCAATGGTTTGATGTTTATGATAGATTTGTTTCTTATGAACACGCAGCTTTTTGTTTCTCAAGACATCACCTGAAGGACTGGACTGGAGTGGTGTGGTGTGGATTACTTGTGGATTATTGTGATGTTTTTATCAGCTGTTTGGACTGTTATTCTGACGGCATCCATTCACTTCAATGGATCCTTTGGTGAAAAAGTGATGTAATGCTAAATTTATCCCAATCTGTTCTGATGAATCAAACTAATCTACATCTTGGATAGCCTGAGAGTGAGTCAAATATCAGCAAATTTTCATTTTCTGGTGCACTGTTCCTTTAAGATATTTTAAATTATATGGTTTCATGTCCAGTAAACCTTGTTAAAATGGCCTTAACGGTTTTAGCTGAGTGTGGTTTCTGTTTGGCTGTGTGAATTGCTCCCAATGCCACAGTAAACACATGATCCTCTATAAAACACAAAAGATGTGATGCGTGAAATTTGAGGAAAATGGTAAAAATGCAGCTTGTAATTCATTTTGAGTGTTTAATGACTTCCGAATAAAATTTTGTGGAACAATCAGTGAAATGAATGGATGTCTCATAATAACCACACTCTGTGTGTGTGTGTGTGTGTGTGTGTGTGTGTGTGTACATCTGAAATCTATTAGACAGAGCTGCACATACAGCATCGTCATTGAGACTTGCATACATTTCCATATCAACCATCTCATTCTCTTTAGCAGTTGATGTGTAATTTAAATATTGATCAGGTAGTTAAATGAGCAGACTGATATGTAAATACGCAAGGCTACTCAGAGAAATGAGATGTAGTATGTCTACAAGATGTGTTTCCACGCTCTGCTGGTTTATGTCTGATCATTAGCTCTCTTTAGCAGCCGATGTGTAATTAAAATCTTGATCAGGTGGTTAAATGAGCTGACTGATATGTAAATCAGCAAGGCTACTCAAAGAAATGGGGTGCAGTATGTCAACAAGATCTGTTTCCACACTCTGCCGGTTTACATCTGATCATTAGCTCACTGTTTTTGCTTGTGTTAGGTTGAAAACTGGTGCCCTCGCCTGCCATGGAGGATCAAGAATAATGCTGACGAAGCTGACAGGAAAACACAGGTCAGCTGTGGTTTGGGGACAAAATTGTCCTCAAAATATGATAAAATGTCCATAAAATATATTAAATAAAAATTATTTAAATTAAAAGTTAATAAAATAATGAATAATACATTTTTAATCAATAAAAAGTATATATATTTGTAAATAATTTAAAAAGCTTCCATAAATACATCTATACAAAAATGAAACATTCAAATGTAATTAAAATAAATAAAAAATTGCATTTTATAAAGTAGTTAATAAAATCAAATAAAAAAAATAAAAAGTTTTTCTTTTGGGGTAGTGGTTGGATTAGTATATTAAAAATGTATAATTGATTTCTAAATTATGTATATATAAAATATATAATATATATAAATTTAGTATACACTGGAGATAAAATAGCTTCCAGAATATGATAAAACTTCCATAACTACATCCTTCAAAAATAAATAAAATAAATAAAAATGAATTAATTGTAAAAAATAGGGATGCACCGATACTGCGCTCCTGTACTCGTACCAGTACTCGTAAAAATGCCCCAATACCAAAAGCCGATACCACACAGCATGTGAATAGAGCTGTGTCCAGAAAAAGAAACACTGAAAACAGAACAACAAAGAGTAGAATGGACTAATTAGAGATTAAGGTTGTCTATGAAGTACATGTAAGTAATTAATATAATGTTAAACATTCAATATTCACGCCTGTATAGCGGATGTGCGCGAGCTGATAAGCTGAGCGTGCGGCGGCACAGATGCGCAAGCTTGTCGAGTGAATATCTCACAGACATCACTGGAAAGTTTGTAGTTTGGTCGGATTTGTCAAAATCAAGTAAGTAAAACAATGCACAAGTTACTAAAGTTATTTGACTGTAAGGAGAGTGAGAGAGAGAGTCCGAGAGCGCACACTTCTGTTGCATTATCTTGATTGCTGTTCGCTTCATTAGCGCATGCATTTGGATTAAAACTAAATCGTAAATATAAAACA